AGCCCTAGATATTTTGACCCAAATTAGAAAGAGTATAGTCTCTTATGGAGCTTTGAGGCACAATGCAGTCTGAATGGAGTTGTGCTGCTAACTCAAATGTCACATCTGTCTGGCAATGTGAATCCACCAGCAGCTCTAGGGAGCAATCTCCTCCCATATGATTTGTAGCCTTGGAAACCCAATGATGGATCTGTTATGAGTCAGATTTCATTTGATAACAATGAACGAGTAACTGAGTGATTGCTATATGAGACTTTTCCTTATAAAGAGCAATGGACAGCATAGCTCCTCTTCCCTGACATTCTGTTTTCCTGTATGAATTTACTACCTTCCTGTAACAATGGGCTTATGCACAGCAAAGATTGTGCGGTTGTCCCAGGGTTGGGCAGGATTTCATTCTCTTGTACATATGGACTTTATCAGTCAGAGTTGATGCAATGGCACCTAACAACAACAACAGCAGCAACACACTTTTACCACTTTTTTTGTGTGTGGGTTTTAAAAAAAATTATTATTATTATTATTTTTAATTTCAGTGAACATCTACAGAGATTTTGGAATTCCATTCATTGTTGCACTTTTCTCCCTGCCCACCCCACCCCCACGCCCCATTCGTGCCTCTCCTTGAAAAGCAAAAGAAAAACTCCTTCATTGTTACACAATCTCCGCACCCCCCCGCACACACCCCAAATATAGTCCACTCTGCAACCCTCATTCCGTACTCTTATGATAAACATAATGCCCTAAAACATAATACTTTTAAACTATTCTCTCCCTCATAGACTTCAATGTAGTAAACATAATTTATCCAGTTTTTCTCAGTCTTACCCCCACCCCGATGTCAGCCTCATTCTACAACAGTGGCACCATATAGCATTTGTCCCTTTGACTTTCACCACATTTTAAAAAATAATTAATTTTCCCTGATCTTGTGATATGTTTTGAAGTTATGTAGTTATTGATGGCTATGTCCAGCATTTTAAAATTTTCTCCCCGTATATAGTTTTGCCTTCTATGTCTAGTGCACAATATAGATATGTTCTTGAGTGTCTTTGAGATGGAACCGATCCATAGCTAACTCTTCAGTGGGTTTTCAGATACAGTTAATCGCACAGGAGGAGAATGCTCATCTTTCTCCCATCAAGCAAGTGGTGGATTTGAGCCTCGTGTCTTATTGCAGGCTAGCAGAACTCCCTAATGCATTGTTATTGTGGTTGTGTACCATCGAGTCAGAAGTTATTCATTGCTGATCCTTCAGTGGGTTTTCAGACTCAGATAATCACATGGGAAGAGACTGTCTATCTTTCTCCTGTAGAGCAGCTGGTGAATTTGAACCTGTACTTTGGCATTGCAATACAGCTTCTTACCACTAGGCCACCAGAGCTCCCTCCTAGTGTATAGAATATTATATTTGTCATATTAAATTATTAGTAACTGTATTCTGCCATTTTTCCTTTCCATGTGGTAATGCTTGAACTTCTCAAAGTAACTAAGCATAATAAAACATTGGTTTATTACAGGATTGATGTTGTTAGGATTTAATGAGTCAGAATTGATTCAAGCAGATGCTCCATCAGGTTTTCAGAGGCTGTAAATTGCACAGGAGAAGACTGTCCATATTTCTCCGGTGGGGTAGCTGGTATGTTCAAACTCCTGCCTGTGAGTTGACATTGTGACTCCTTATAACTAGGCCACCCGAGGTCCTTATATTATAAGATAGTTGTTGCTGCTGTATATCAAGTCAGAACAGACCCATAGCTGTCCATTCAGTGGGTTTTCAGAAGTAGTAAGTCTCACGAGAGGAGATTGCCCATCTTTCTCCAGCAGAGCAGCTGGTGGATTGGAACTGCATGCCTTTGGGACTGCAGTGCAGCTTCTTAGCACTAGGCCACCAGAGCTCCCTATTAAGCTGACTAGTGACTGATTCAAAAGAACTTTGTGAGTATGTATTAGACCTTTAGAGTCCCATGTATTTGTGAATGTGATGTACTCATAGACTGATACATCCATCAAGAAGATGTTGAAATAAGTATGGATGATGCACTTTTGAAGACAGAATATGCAGTAAGGAGAATGAACACTAATTTTGGGTCAAAATATTCTTTTCCAACGTCATAGCCACACTATTTAATCTTCTGAATCCTTTTGTCCTAACAGCGAAAATAGTCCAGAAGGAGTTGTACTGCTACCTCAAAGGCTGCATCTTTCTGATGAGGCAAGTTCACCAGTGACCCCATCAGCAGAAAAATGGGTACCCTCTTCCTATGCAATTTATTGCCTCGGAAACCCAGTGGAGAAGCAAAGATGAGTCAGTTCAGACTCCACGGTAATGAGATTATTTTTTTTTAACCCTGACACTTAGAGTTCTTTCGAGAATCCTCAGAATGAATGTATATGAAAGTGCTGCATGTCTCAGCAAGTGCTATGAGGCTGTGAATCCTGACAACGATGATGACAAAGTGGTGCCAGTTTCAAATATTGAGCCAGGATGATGAAAGTATGCTCTCCTCCTCCGGAGACCAGCTTTAAATCCATTTCTCAGGCTCTAGTAGCCTGTAACAATGACACCATATTTACCTAACCCTTTCTCATTTATTAAACATTTTTGGACAGACCATACTAGGATGCTTTAGGCAGAATGTTAAATGATCCAGGAGGTATCAAAAGAAGATGGAAGGAACATTGTATTGGATGGAGTCATTGTATTGAAAGGAACTGGCAGATACAGAAGAAT